GRGGGGTCTTGTTGCAGGACAGACCTAGCCCGCCCCAGCAGCCCAGCAGCAGCCTCCATACACTGAGAGTCCCCCTACATSGCCCTCCTCAGTGGCAGGTGGGGGTCCCTCTCCAAGACCTGGGAATGAAGCGGAATGCCACAAGCCCTGGCAGCCCCCACCTAACACCCTCCTGGGCTCCACCATTTGGATGTGCCAACAGCTCCCCTCACGTGACCTTATGTCCAGATCATCCTGGGAGATCTGAATTCCAGGCCTGTCCTGGCGTCTGTCCATCTGGGAGAATTCCCCCACATCTGGGCCCCGTCCTCCTCTACTGTCAACCGCAGTTCCTCCTATGGAACAACTTGACAGCGCAGAAGCTGTGGGAACATTCCAATCTCCCCGTGCACACCCTCACCCACGAGTTGCCCCTACCTTTCTACTTCAGCCTCCCCGCAAGCATCCGCTCCCCTCCTGCGGCTCCTTCCCACCCCTGCGCCTGTGCACAGCCTCCTGAATCACCTTAGCTGTTCCTCCCCAGCCAACCCATTGTTTTCTGCTCCTTGAGATCCTGACTTGAAGCTCATCTCCTACGGGAAGTCCTTCTGGATCACTCCCCAGCTGCACCCCTACAGTTTTGCTCTTCAGGTCACTCTGAATTGAAAAACTGGATTTAGGCCACCTCACTGCATGTCCCCAGTGTAAGAACTCCCCAAGGAGGGGTCCCGGTTTTCAGTTCTTGTCTCTCCGACCCCTGCATAGTGCTCAAGCTGTAATGGGCACGGGGGATGCTCAGAGCACCCATGGGTGGATCCGAGCTCACCAGCCCTTTGCCAGGACCACAGCTGCTCTTCCACAGTTAACATTTTGGAGAGGAGCAAGGAGCCCTCAGGAAGCTGGGATAAGAGGTTATCTGCCCTAGTATTAATCACCCCATAAAACTTGTGTTTGTTTAGTTGCTGGCAGGTCCCTCTTCCTGGAGGTAGGAAGCTGTTATTCTTGGAGATACCAGCCTGGATCAGGGAGCCTGGAGAAAAGAGGACGATCTGCTGAGCCCAGCATGATGGCCGGCGGCCTGGGCGCCTGAAGCTGGCCTGCTGGGCCATGGCATGGCACCAGCAGGGGCCTGGGTCACCATCAAGGCAGGGAAGGGTATGACACCAGCCTCTGCCTCCACTCTGCTCCTGGACATCTCATCTATCCATGGCCCAGCTTGCAAACCTACTGTGTGCATACCTACCTATGTGCACTATGTGCCAGGCACCCAGGACACTTCCGAACCGAGGATAAGACACAGGCCAGGTGAGGTGTAAAGGGCAGGAGGGGACAGGTGCAGGTGCAGGACATCCCTAAAGATCAGACACTGGTTTGGGGGATCATCACCCCAGGAAAGGCTGGCCTGTCCTCAAAGCCACCAATATAGGGCACAACTTTTTTCATGAAAGAGACAGCTGTGGGGCTGGGGATGTGGCTCAAGCGGTAGCACGCTCGCCTGGCATGCGTGCAGCCCGGGTTCGATCCTCAGCACCACATACAAACAAAGATGTTGTGTCTGCYGAAAAAAACTGAAAAATAAATATTAAAATTCTAAAAAAAAAAAAAAAAAAGAGAGACAGCTGCTAAGAAGGGAGCCCAGGAAAAGCAAGAAGAGCTCATGGAATCAGAGTTGAAGGAGAGAGAGACAGACCCTGAAAGACACAGATGTAGTGACAGGGTTGGCAATAGAGAGGGGACAAGAGAAGAAAGAAAATTGACTCTGAGTCTCTACAGGGCCACTGGCATGTCTGAGTGGGGACACGGAGGGAAGGAAGAGAGCCTGCTGCGGCCACCTCAGCTCTCCTGGACGGCTCGCTGCCCCTCCGCCCCGCCCACTTCACTTCTTTTTTCCCCCCATCTTTTTTAGCTGCAGATGGACACAATATCTTTATTTACTTATTTTTATGTGGCGCTGAGGATCGACCCAGTGCTTCACACATGCCAGGCGAGTGCTCTACCGCTGCGCTCCAGCTCCTGCCCCTGCTCTCTGCCTTTTTTACATACACACAAAAAATCAATTTAGGAGGAACAAATGAAGAGATATTTTAATCTGCTAATTGAATTTAGGGGCCATAATCAGAGTTTGAAAATGCCTAGGGATTATGGTGATTTATGGCCAGGATGGGAATCAGCTGGGGTTATCTGGGTGCAGAGCAGCCTGCCTGCCAGGAGACGCAGAGGCAACCGCGATACCCCCACCCACCACTGATAGTCAAAGAAGGGGAGTGGGGCCTGGCCAGGTTCCTCTGCATGGGCTGTGTCCCCAAGGCAGGGACCTGCGTACTATTCCCCAGGCCCCCCTCAGCCCTTGGAGGTCGGAACATGTCACCTGGCATGTTCCCCTTCATTCCCACCTGTCCAGAGCCTCTTGGAACAGGCAGGCCCAGACCAAATCTTCTCCCCTGAGAAGCCTCCGGGACTCACAGACCTCAGCCTCCTCTGGCCTCAGCCTCCTCTGACTTCCTGCCTCCTTTTATGTTGAAACCTCCTGGAGGACCGGCCCTTCCACATCCTCACATGAGCAAGCCAGGTCCTCATGGGCCTCAGTTTTCTGCCTACCAAAGGGGGAGAAAAAAGACTCCCTCCTGGGTCTGCTGCTGAGAGGTTAAAGCAGCTGCCCGGATGGAAAGCATTACTGTAGATGGAAGGGATCTAGGTCCATAGCGCTTAACGATTTACTACCCCCTTGGTCCTGCCTTGGTTGTGTCTGCAGTGTCTGTCTCCCAAACTGACAAGCAAGCCCAGGGCTGTCTGAGGGCCAGGCTACTCTGTCTCTGCCCCCATCCACCCACTCTGTTCCTTAGCTAGCCAGTCCCTCATCCTCCCATCCATCCACCTCCCCACTCTCCCCTTCCTGCAAGCATTACTGCCTCCCTCAGCGCCCTCTCTATTGTGGGGGAAGAGACACGTAGCTGGACCCTGGTTCAGCAGAGGCCTCAGTACTGCAAAAAGCACAGCCCCCATGTGGTAGGACGCAGGATGGAGAAGAATGTTCCTGGGGAAGGCTTCAGAGAGGAGCAGCTCTTGGGCTGGGCCTCCAAGCCAGAGTCGGGGCTGTGAGGAAGAGCATTCTTTGCTCAGGGGAAAGCAGGAACGTTGCCACTACATCCTACACCTTCCCCGCCAAAAGACTGTGACTCTCAAGAGCAGAGACATGCTCCATCTTCCACAATGTGGCAGAACTCAGGGCTGAGTCACAGAATTCACAACCGCTTTACAGAGGAGCCCGAGCCTCAGACAGCAGTGGCCAGGCCGGAGCTTAAGAATCGAGCTTTGGATGTGTGCTGTCTTGAGGACACCAGATCACCAAGAAGATGCTCAATTAACCCTGRGTCAAGCACTGCCTTCCCCAGGGTGGGTGAGAATGTCTGACACCTACTGTGTGTCAGCTGTTCCTCATCAGTCCGCTCTGCAAAAGAACCCCAGGGTCTATGACCCCATTGCACGATGAGGAAACTGAGTCCCACCCCTGGCACAAAGTGAGACCAGGACCCAACCCGGTCTATCTCTAGCTCAGGCACACCTCTCTGCCCTCCTGCCAGAGGGTGTCTCGTAGGTGCATCCAGGTCCCATCAGAAGTGGGGAGCAGACTGCTGTCGATCAGTCAGGGCATCCTCCTTCAGCTGACACCTGGAACAGCCCGTTTCAGGCTTTCAGTGTGTCAGCGTGAATGCTGAAACACTTTTATTGACTTGAGAAACAGAAAGTTCCCAAACTGGGAGTTAATAAAAACAACCTTCTGATGTTCAGGACTCCACAAACAGGCTTCTGGCCATTACTCATGTCTTTGTTGTTGTTTTAATTTTGGCTGTTTGAACCCAGGGACACACTACTCACTGAGTTATATCCCTAGCCCTTTTTATTTATTTGTTACTTACTTTGTTTTTACTTTCACTCTCTTTACTCAAGAAAAAAGTGTTTTTGAAAAGTTTCACTGTTTCTATGCTTTGAATTCAGAAAGGGGGCGGAGGTACTGAACCACCGTCACTGCATTTCTCCCTGCGAGGAGAAGGGGTGTGGATGGGAGATGGAAGCAGAAGCAAACACTGGCTGGGCAAACACTTGGTACCCAGGACTGCTGGACACTCGCTCACAGGGACTCTTCCCACCAACCCATTTCACAATGAGGAAGCTGTGTCAGGCTCCGGCAGGCTCTGCCCAGGGACAAAGACAGTTCGCTAACGTGCTGATCTGTACCCAAAGTCTACCACACACAGGAGTGTTGCGGCAGGAAGTCTGTACCTTAGTGCTCCAGGCCACCTCTGATGATCCCTCTCCTAGCCACCCACCACCCCTACAGTATGTCAGTCCTCCCTCTGCAAGAGGATAACTTGGAGCCTGGAGGTACCTGGAAGTCTTGGCCATTCCTGGCCCCCCAGTGCCTTCTGCTTCCTGCCCCATCTCTTACCCAACCTCCCTGTGAAAAGCACTTAGGAAGGTATGGAGCCCAGGCTCTGGGGAGGCTGCAGACCCAGGACTAAGAGCCTCACTTTGGAGCTGGACAAACTCAGGGCAGAGCATTGATTCCACACTCACAGGCCTCATGACTCCACCTCCCTGAACTTGAGTCTCTGCCTCTACAGGCCCAATATTTCCCAGGCTGTGATGAGAACAGGCAATCATGAAGTGTCTGGCACCCAGTAAGACCTCTGTAAACTAGGGCTACGACGATGAACACTGATGACTTCTGCAGGGCGGATCTCAAGGCTATTGCTGATGGCAAAGGTTGTACACTGCTCAGAGGTACCACCTGAGGGGCTGCAGCGGGGGGGGGGGTCTCACCTGGGTTCCACCTGCCGAAGCTGTGGCTGAGAGGAAGCGAGCTCTCTGCAGCACAATGGCCCCAGAGCTGCCCTGGGGCTGCTGCCAAGTTGGGGAGGAGAAGTCCCCTGCCTGATGGCATGGAGCAGTGTCAAGGTGCAGCACCTGGAGACTGAGGGATGTGCCGTGCCCCTCAGGGACCAGAGGGAGTGGTCACTCACCTAGCAGTTGGACGCCCCGCGTCAGGCCGTAGACATCCACCAGGGCCCAGAGTGGGTCGGCCGTGCGGACCCCATTGAAGAAGAGCATGGCGGCCGAGTCGTTGATGCGGTAGAAGACACGGCCCTTCTTGTCCACCCAGAAGGCAATGATGTTGCCCTCGTTGGCAAACTCCTCAGGCAGCGCCTTGGCCCAGAAGCCACTCTGGGACACCAGGTCGGGGCAGGCGTACTTGGGAAGCGAGTCCGGGTGGATGCGCGACGGGTCCTTGCTCGTGAAGCCCAGTCGCAGGGCCCCGCTCCAGCAGCACTGCTTCTTGGTGATCTGGTGGCAGGGGGTGGCCTCAGCCCAGCCACTCCCCCTTCAGACAGACCAGGGGAARGGGGGCACCCTTCTCTGCAAACCACCCTCAGCAGACCTCCAGGGATGTCCTGCAGCCTGTCCTTTCCCTCCCCCAGGGAGCCTTCTCATGGGCTGGGGAGAGCCAGCGGTTCCCATGGCCACTCCCAGCCCCCTTCCTCTTTGTCACCAAGGAAGGCTGGGGGAAAGTAAGGAAGAGAGGGAAGGGTGGCAGTGGAAAGGAAAGAGACGGGACAGGGGGCTAATGGCATTAACAGCAGACCCTGGCTGTGGGGAGAGGGTCAGAGGCACAAGGGGACATAGGGCGGGCCCACCTTTAGCCTGACTTGCTCATAGATGAGCACCGGGCGGTTACTGAAGGTGATGGCGTTGCAGAAGCTGGCCTGCCTCTTGACGGCCTTGTGGCTGAGGTCCATGAGGATCTGGGAGCCCTTGGTGTGTGGGTGGAAGAGCAGCGGCGTGGCCGGGAGCCCCCCGCCGGGTAGCACTGGTGGGCAGTGCTTCTGCTTGTGGTGGCATCTGTGAGAATTGACGGGGAAGGGGCCCCCGATGGAGTCTGCAAAGGAACAGGCCACAGTGTCAGAGAACTTAGCGGGTCTGAGAACCAGACTAGGTCCCCCAGGGAAGAGCCCAAGGCTAGGGCATAAGCAGACAGCACCTGTCTGTCACCCAGTATTTCCACCATCACTGCCACCCGGCACCATGGCCACTTTACCACTGTCCTCTCTTGCTGCCATGTGCCACAATCTCCCAGGTCACCTTCTCCCATCATCCTTTATTGGTTTGTTATCCACTTCCATCCACCCTCTCATCCTCCTCATTTGTCTTAACGCCATCCACCAGCTACCCACCCACCCACCCAGCCATGAGCACCGCCATTCACTATCACCACCGCCACCACTGAATTACAGCCTTTGCATCTACTGAATACCAGGCTCTGACCTAGGCACTGCAGCTACAGACACAAAACATGGATAGATCCTGTCCTCCTGAAGCCACAAGTCCAGAAAAGGAGACAGACATGGACATTCTGTTATCACAGCACACAGTGACAAACACCAAAAGGACCAACAGGCAGGTCACTTCTCGGGAAGGCCTCCTGGGGGAGAGTTGAATCGAGGTGACACTGGAGCTGGGCAGGCTTGAGGTCCATGAGGGACCACTACAGGAAGGAAGAGAGAGTCTCTGCAGCATCAGCCCCAGAACTGTGTCCACCATCATGTCCCTCCCTCAGGGTCACCTCTGTCCCACATCAGGTTTAGACAGTTCTAGAAAATGGGGTAGAGAATGGGGCAGGGCTTGGCTGAGGAGCAGACACTTTACAAACCATTGTGGTTGGCATGAGATGGGGCAGGGAGAGGAAGGAGCGCAGAGCTAGGTGTTAGGTGTCTGAGTCTGTCACTTGCTGGCTGTGTGACTCTGGAGAAGACGCTTCCCTCTGGCCCAGGGGGTGGCCTCTGTCCCTTGCTCTAAGACACAAATCAGGGCTGGGGGCTAGGGGCTTGGGGCCCTCAGTTCCTGCTCAGGAGCTGTCCTCACCAGTCCTTCAGGAATTGGAGTACCTGTCCATTCTGTCCTCTTAAGGAAAGAGAGCCACTGCGGACAGGGAAGAAGGAGGTGGAGGGATTCCAAGCCTCAAAAGGTGACTGGGGTTTTCTGGGATGTTGCAAATTTTTAGTTCCTCCAAGACAGGAATTTAGTAATGCGGAGAAGAGCCACCTCAGGTCTGCCCAGACCCTGCCACTGCCGAGGAGGGGGAGGAAAAAAGGAAGCTGGGAGGCGGCGGGCAGAGACCTCCGTCCAGGCTGCCGGCTTTGGTTTCATCTCTTGACATCTCTGCTCCCTCCTTCTCGGAGGGCCCCGAGCACCAGCTCCCACAGCCCAGGACCAGCCATGCCCTGGGGAACAGTCCTTGAGGCCTGTCTGGAGCAGCTTCCTGTATGCCAGGCCTGAGAGGTGGGGGTGCATGAGGAAGGCTGGCCTTGCTCTCACCGAGGAGACAAGACGTTCTGGAACTGCCAAACCTTTGAGAGCCACCAGGCTGCCAGGGCTGGAGTTGCTCGGAGAGCCCCAGACAGCCCGGGAAGCTTCCTGGGAGAAGTCAAATGAACTCTGGAGAGGGCAGGGGAAGGGGAGTCACTCCAGGAAGGAGACGGTTGGGGTGAAGGGCAGAGGGTGTGCTGCCTGGAAAAGGTGCCCACTGGGCTCCGGCCGCCTCAGACACAGCTTGACTCTCAGTTTCAAATAAGACCTGCTGGGGAAAGGAAGCATTGCACGCTGTTTAGGGACTATCCACACTAGAAAGAAACTATAAAGGGGAGAAAACCCCTGCTGCGTGAATGGAAAAGCTCAGAGCATCTGTGCGGGGACTAGTACTCAGTGGGCAAAAGCAACGAACTGCTGACACAGGTGATGACACAGATGACTGCAAAATAATCAGGCTGGGTGACACGAGCCAGCCTAAAAACCCAGCACGGTCCACGGAGCCACCGCAGAACCCCTGTTCCTCTCTCAAGCCTTCCTCTCCTTCCACTCTGCCCCATTTTTACCAAATTCCAGGAAGGACAAACCAAGCTACAGCAATCAAAAGCAGGAAAGTAGGTGCCCAGGGCAGCAGGGGGATGGGGAGGGATCACCAAGGAGCAGGCGGCAGCATTTGGAGGTACATGCTGATGGTGGTGGTGGTGATTTTATAGGTGTAAACATGTTAAAACGCCTCACGGCATACACTTCAAGGACGCATGGTTTATTGAATGGCAAATATACCTCAAAAAGGCAAGTTGAGGGTTTTTTGTGGCGGAGGGGTTCTAGGGACTAAACCCAGGGGCACTTTGCCACTGAGATACATCCCCAGCCTTATTATTTTTTTAAAATATTTATTTTTTAATTGTAGTTGGACACAATACCTCTATTCCATTCATTTATCTTTATTTGGTGCTGAGGATCGAACCCAGGGCCTCGCTCATGCTAGGTGAGTGTTCTATCACTGAGCCACAATCCCAGCCCCAGCCTTCTTATTTTTCATTTTGAGACTAGGTCTTGCTAAGTTGCATAGGGCCTTGTTAAGTTGCTGAGGCTGGCCTTGAACTTGAGATCCTCCTGTTTCAGCCACCCAAGTTCCAGGGGCTGCAGACCTATGTCACCTGGCCCAGCCAATAGTTAGTTTTCCAAGCCCGCTGAGCCCAGCTACCTACTGGAGCTTCTCCTTTAGAGTCCTCACTCCCCATTCCTCCAACCAGAGCCCATAGACCTCAGCTAAAGCAGGGCCTCAGCTTCTTTCAAGATGTCTCCTCTCCTTCCCACCCATCCCTGTTAGGGTTCTGGGGCTCTAGGTAAAAGTCCAGAAAACAGGGACTGGGGTGGTGGCTTAGCAGTAGAGCACTCACATGAGGCCCTGGGTTTGATCCTCAGCACCACATAAAAATAAATAAATAAAGGTATTGTTGTCCAACTACAGCTAAAAAATAAATACCTAAAAAAAAAAGTCCAGAAAACACTGGCTCTAGGCAAATATGGTGGAGATGCCCAGAACCCAGAGATCCAGGACCTGGAAGGACATTCCCCAAGGCTTCCCTTCCATGGGGAGGACCCAAGGGTACAGATTCCAGGGTTGGGTGGAGAGTGGGGAAGGGACAGCACAGAGTCTACAGGCTGAGTGACAGTAGAACAATTGGAGACGGTGTACGTACATAGGATACCCTTGTCCTGGGGACCCAACATGCACTCAGACATGTGACCTCCAAAAGCCCTACTCGTGCACACACACCTGTGAGAACACAAAGGCCATCCCAACCCTAAGGCACACCAGAGGGAGAAGGGCTCATCCCTCTTCCTTATCCTGAGACCAGGAATCCCACATTGACATATGCATGTCTTCGTGTACATGTGGTTGTACAAAACAACACACAGAAAACATGTGCCCGTCACACAGAGGCCATACATTTTTAATAATCATGGCAGTCCTGTGCCAAGCTCTGGGAGGGTTTTTTCTTTGGTGGKGGGGGGGTAACCAGGAATTGAATTAAGGGGCACTCAACCACTGTGCCACATCCCCAGCCCTATTTTGTATTTTACTTAGAGACAGGGTCTCACTGAGTTGCTTAGCACCTCACTATTGCTGAGGCTGGCTTTGAACTTATGGTCCTTCTGCCTCGGCCTCCTGAGCTGCTGGGATTACAGGTGTGTGCCACCGCGCCCAGCTTGAACTGGGAGTTTTACATATCCTCACACCAAATTTATGAAGTAGGAAGGGTCCTTATCAACCCATTTTATCAATGACACAGGAGGTAAAAAATGGAAGTCAAACCCACAATCTAACTCCAGGACTGTCATTTAGCTATTAAGCTTTGAATAACCGGGAAATCATGGTTTTAGCATTCTGGGTACATTTTTAAAAAGCACTTTAAAATACAATTATAACTTACAAATGTGAAAAAAAAAAAAAAAAAAGCTCATCCAGGTACCACCTAAAATCATGCCATCGAACGCTTTTATCAAACTGCCTTCACGAGACACATAGAGCCACCAAAACACAGAAATACAAACCACTGGCTGGGAATATAGCTCAGCTGGTAGAGTGCTTGCCTCGCATGCACCACGCCCTGGGTTCAATCCCCAGCACCAGGAAAAAAAAAAAGAAATCCAAACCATGTTCTCAGCCCTTGTCCACGGCCTGCAGGATGCAGCCGGAGACAGCCAGTGTGGCAAACAGGTTGGCAGTTTCTAATAAAGCCACATACCTCCCACACAACAAAGCACTCACACTTCTGGGCATTTTCCCAAGAGAAATGAAAACACATCCAGACAATGACCTGTGCATAATGTATAGCTGCTTTATTCATAATGATCCCCAACTGGAAACAATTCAAAAAAACCTTCCACTGTGGACAGATAAAGAAAATGTGGTACGTGCATAGGATTACCGTTCTGCAAGAAAAACAGCAATGACAACAGAGACGCACACAACAAGGACAAACTCAAACACATGCCAAGGATAGAAGCCAGATACACAAGGCTACCTACTGTGGGACACCATCCRTGTGACATTCAGGAAAAGGCAGAAGCAGGGAGGTAGAGATCAGTGGGTATCAGCATTTGGGGGAAGATATGACCACACCAGGGCATGAAGGAAGTTTTCTCAGTGACAGAATTGCTCTCTATCTTGCTGGTGTAGTGGTTACACAACTCACACATTTGTCAAAAAAAAAAAATGAATGAACATTATGCCTCAATTAAAAAGCAACAACTAATAAGCCAGGTCTTCATGAAGATGGAGGGAGGAGAGGCTGGTGCTCCAGACTCCCAAGGCACCCCATCGCTCTGCCCCAGGAAGTGCTAGGATTTGGATCATCTCACAGGAGACCTCCCAAAGCTGAGTTGGGCCTGCCACTCTAACTCTTAATTGTAAGTCCCTTCCACATCTCTGAAATGAAATGGGTGCTGTTCCCTGTCCCTCATGGGTGTGGAGAGAGAGCACTCTAACAGTTGCAAAGCACCATGTCCCGATTCCTGGGGTCTGAGAAATTCCGAGCACCTTCTTCCTACAGGGAGGTCTCC